ACATTTCTAGGTTACGAGTTCGATCAGTGGAATTTCCACAGGCTTTAACGTCTAGCATGATTAACAGGACTCTGCCATCCACCCAAGGCTAGCCTTGGGTGGATGGCAGCCAATTTAGGAGGTTGATTCTGAATTCAAGACCGCGGAGAAAGCAATGGGAAATCATTCTATTATCTTTTCTTATAAATAATCGGTGAAACAAAAAAAAAAAAAAAATTGATTCCAAATTGTCTTAAATTTACCAAATATTTATGAAACATGAATATTTAGCTATAGGCCCGTTTACCGGGCACGCTGCAAAATGGCAGTAGGATTCAAGATGGAACGTAAAGTAATTGGAGGAGAAGATGTAGTTGTCAATATCGACAATATTCACAAAAGAAAATACGAAAAGGGTAGATGGTTGCCGTGTTTTCTGAGGCACAGCAAGAGAAGGGAAGAGGTTTTTTTCTCGTGTTCAGCTTTTACTTCAGTACCTATATTTAAGAAGCTATTTCGTCGATTACATATTTCTTAAAGAGTACCTCAAACCTGAAGATGATAAATTCCAAATTTTGGGGAAAATATTATAAACTATGTGCAAGAAGAAGAGAAAGAAAATGATCTCAGAGATTAAAAGTAAGAAATAAGCATTTTTTTCGATGAAAAAAATAAGTTTAGCAAATTTAATTCAATTGTTTTATTAATAATGTATTTAATAAGATGGCAATAAATAGCTGCCATTTTGAATCCTACTGTTTTCCTTCTGTCACGTTGCAGCGTACCCAGTAAACGGAATACTATCTGAATATATATGTGTAAATATCCTACTTATGATGGAAATAATGCAAAATGGCTATGGAACAAATATAAACTCTCTATGTACAAATGGTACGAGGTAATAAATTAAAAGGATTTTGGGGGGAGAAGAGAAAACGTCAAATCTATTCTCCAAAGTATTATGAATGGCGCAACTGAAAAAAAAAAAAAAAAAACACAAGAATCTTACGCCGGTGTGAAAATTTGAAAGAAATTTATATTGATTAAAAGACATAAAAAAAGCGTGCACATAATTTTCCTTTGTGCGCCAAACAGTTAGGCAAGATAACAAATTTTAAATACAATTCTGTTCGGCTCAAAAGAAAACAATTGTAATTATTGTCAACAAAATGTTCACTTACTTCGATACATTCGACTGTAGAAAGGAACTGAGAAGGGCGGCAATTCACAGGCGTCGTTGGGTTTCTTTTAGACACTTTTCCAGTTTTACAAACTGAGATTTAAAAATGAGATAAATCCCTTATTTTCATAAAAGTTCAAAATCAGGATTATTACCTGTAATTTTGTGACAACCATCCACAAATAACAATAGAAATATATTCGTATATCTCTCTAAATGTGTAAAAGCTTCCCCTTTTTGCCTTGTTTTCCTTTTTTTTAGCTTTTCTTTTTTTGTTACTTCCTTTTCTATTTCGTTGTCGTCGTCGACAATTTTTAGTTTTCACTGTTCAGTTCTCGGAAACATCACACGGTCATTCACCCGTGAAAACCAAATCCCTTCTGCCACGCAGTCAAACTAAACTTCTTAAATAGTCAAAATATCGTCATTAAATTGAACCCGAATTTGAAAGCTATATTCTCCATTGGTTTAAAAATCACAAAATGTGTCTCTTTAAATCTCGCCTATGAGCAAAACTTTATTTTGGTAGGGTTTCAGACCATAAGACTCGAGCCTTTCTTTTTACAAATTTTCAAAGCCAAATTTTATACATGAATCATTTTTGCAAACTTTCAGGTTTTCATTTTTTTTAAAAATCAATTTGAGCCTCACATATACAAATACAGAGGGAAAGCAAAAGGAAGCAAACTTTCTTCTCTCTTTTTATATTTTTCTTCTAGAAGCTTTTTAATCCACCCAGCGAGAGATAAATAATATAGAATGAGTGAGTAATAAAGATGAAAGCATAGGGAGGGTGACGATAGGGTCTGTCTAAGGAATTGTGTGGCTTATTGGAGAATTTGTTTGCATGATGGGAAGAGGAGCCTATGTGAAGGGACTGAAATTGCGCCCCCATATAAGCATTTTGTTTACCAGCTTGTAGAGGGATGCGTTACTACTTGTTACGGCTGTGGTGGAAGGCTTTTGCAGCGAATGGGGGTGGGGGCTCAAGATTTGAAATAGATGCGGTTGCTTTTGGTCACCAATTTGTATTTGGAGGAGAAACCTTGTTACAGATGCGGTTGTTTATAACTTGATATAAACAAGAATGGCTAGTCGGGAAACGAGAATGAACTCCTGATATTAGAGTACCATATGATATTAGAGTACTATATGATATTAGAGTACCATATGATATTAGAGTACTATATGATATTAGAGTACCATATGATATTAGAGTACCATATAAAACAGACATTGTCGGGTGTTGTTCCTCAGAATCTCAATAATAACGTCACTGCACGGTATAGTTATTTTCAAAGCGCGACTTAGATGTGACACAAGGAAGCAAACTTTCCTCTTTCTCTTTCTATTTTTCTTCTAGAAGCTTTTTGATCGACCCAGCGAGAGATAAATAATATAGAATGAGTGAGTAATAAAGATGAAAGCATAGGGAGGGTGACGATAGGGTCTGTCTAAGGAACTATGTGGCTTATTGGAGAATTTGTTTTGCATGATCTTAGATATTTATGGGAAGAGGCGCCTATGGGAAGGGACTAAAATTGCGCCCCCATATAAGCATTTTGTTCACCAGTTTGTTACGGCCGAGGTGGAAAGCTTTTGCAGCGAATGGAGGATGGGGGTTCCAGGTTTGAAATGGATGCGTTTGCTCTTGCTCAACAATTTGTAGTGTGAGGAGAAACTTCCTATAAACAAGATGAGAGAGAGAGAGAGAGAGAGAGAGAGAGAGAGAGAGAGAGAGAGAACATTATGGTACAAGCGCACATAGATATATCGAAAGAATTAATCGAAGAGAAAAAAAAAGGACATGGAGATTTACATCTCGTAAGTGTTTATTGGGTTCGTTAGTTGTGTTACCAAATTCGAAAGCTCTTTTTAGGTTATGGTTTTTCTGTTGCTGTTTTACTGGAAATCAAATGGTCCTAATTCGCTCGTCAGAAATTATAACCAACGCCAAAGTACTATTAAAGTAATTTTACTACTTGATGAATAGACAAAAGAGTCAATAAAGAAAATACTTTAGATGACATCGGGCAGCATTTTAGTGTGAGTGTTTACTATCTGGGTGTGTGTGCTTTCCGGCTATATTCACACACGGCAATAAACGTTCAGAGGAAATTCTCGCAAATCTTAAATTAAATCTTAATATTTCTTCAGAAATTCCTCGACTTTTCAATCTCAAATAGTTATTTAATATACCGGGTGTTATTACTGACGACTGGCTTCTACTCCTGTCATCAAATGTGACAGTATCTCTTTCCGACTGCGACAAACGACTGGACACCCCTCAGTTCTCTCTCTCTCTCTCTCTCAGCATCAATATGGACGGTTGGAAACCACCTTCCATGTGGATGGCGGAACCCCTTCTTTGGTTCTGCTTGCTGCTGTCTGTAGCTCTGGTTTGTATGGAGGATCGAGTATAACCTTTAACATCGCAGTTGTTCTCAAGATGCGAAATTTATATTCCTGTGAGTCTGAATTTTCATTTTCTTTCCGAGAATAAATTAATATGTGAATTAGTTTAAATACAGTAAAAATGTTAAGTATGTACATTATAAACAGATACTATTGACATTTTAGAATTAAGAAGAAAATTAAAATAGTCGTTGTAAAACCTGTGATGTGATGTTAAGTGTATTTGACACAGCAAATAGATTAGCTTAGCGCTTTGGGACTTCAAGCGTAGGGACTAATTGGGCGCAATGGATCGAAATTGGATCTGAGAAAGGGGGGAACGAGAAAGGGGGAGAGAGAGAGAGAGAGAGAATTGGGAAACAAGTCTCTCTCGCTTTCCGATGATTTTATAAAGACTGTAGAAAAAGAGCGAGAGAAGGGAATACAGAACTAGCGCCATGGTACAAGCCACGCATACACACATAGATATATCGAAAGAATGAATCGAAGAGAGAAAAGGATATGGATATTTATCGAGGAGGGAAAAAGTGTGGAGTGGGAGAGAGAGAGAGAGAGAGAGAGAGGAGGTGAAACAGTTTTTTCTCTCTCACTCCGATGATTTTATAAAGACTGTAGAAGAGAGAGAGAGAGAGAGAGAGAGAGAGAGAGAGAGAGAGAGAGAGATTACACTATGGTACAAGCACACATACACATAGATATATGGAAAGAATTAAATCGAAGAGAGAAAAAAAGGACACGGAGATTTACCGGAGGTGTGTGTGTGTGTGTGTGTGGAGAGAGAGAGAGAGAGACAGACAGACAGACAGACAGACAGAGAGCTGAAACAGTTTCTCTCTCTCTTATACAGTCTTTATACAACCATCGGATAAAGAGAGAGAGAGAGAGAGAGAGTAGGCGTTGTCCTGTGTCCGTTCCAGAGATGAATATAAATAGAAAAAGGTAGAAAAAGGAAAAAAATGCTTGAGAGAGAGAGAGAGAGAGAGAGAGAGAGAGAGAGAGAGAGGTGGGGGCGGGGAAGGCGTTGTCCAGAGCCCACTCAAGAAATAAAAGGACGCCGAGCTACGATAAATCTTTACATGAGTCACAGCATCAATTCCCCGAAGGTTTTGTAACTCACTGACCACAGCGAATCGTTACTTTCATTTTGCTCGTGTTATCACTGTCACCTGCTGATCGCGCCATCATCGCCACAACCGCCATCGGCATCAATATTGCAATTTCAATCTCAAACATGGGCACGAAACACTTCTCGTGGCCTTGTTGCTTTGGCTTAGTAGCTATTGTGATTTTCACTGGAAATATTTACACCCAGAATGTTATTTCCAGAAACAAGGCTTTTATAGAACTTCCCATTGGCATTCTAGGAATTTCATCTTCCGGGTCACCGTTCGATATCGAACGTATCGCTCCGGCTATTCAAGTCGCTATGGAAAAGGTCAATACTATTTATCTGAACTCCAGTTATAAGTTAGTGGCAATCCAGAAAACGTACGGGAAATATTGCTACGTAGGAGAAGGACCAGGTTTGCTTGAATTTATTTATTATCTTCTATTTTAGGATATCATGGGGGAAAACTTGTTTATTGTAATTAACAACTTTTCATTTTCTGAGACTATTCAACAACTAATTCAGATAGATGGCTATCCATTGAAAATTTTACTAATTTTCAAATGACATTTTTAATTTCATGTATTTTAATATTACAGAAAAAAATAATATAGAAATTATTATTTCAGAATAATTGCATATTGCCTATAATCGGAGGACCAGATAAAATGCCAAAATAAACCGAATTTGGTCTGCGGACCGGTTGGTCAAACCTTTGCAATGGTCAATCATATTACAGAATTTGAACAGTTTTGTTAAATGTTTGCTTTTATCAGATTTCTTCTCAAAATTCGTTTTTCTTTTACTGTTGGCATTTGTACATGTGTGTTTATTTTGGGTTGACGAGGGTTGAACACACATTTCATATCCCTGAAGCTCGTCTTTCATGGATGACGCCTTAACAATTTCAGTTAAATTTGCAACTACATTGTTGTTGGCTCTTTTCCAGATTCTTATATCATATGCATTGTTTTTCATTTCTTGTAATAATTTCAAATGATTTGAACTTGGGCTGATGTATTTTCAATATTAATTTTTGGCTCGTATTTTCCTCATCTAATAATTGTTTCCTTTTTATCACATTTTTTGTTTCATTCTATAACTTGTGTGGATTTATAACGGCTTTGTATTTTTGGCGCCAATCCCTAACGGTCAGACGAGTGTACCTTTTAAATATAAAACTTTCAAATGTAACTTTTAAAGCAAAATACAAATAAATAAATAAAAACAAAAACAAAAAAGGAAAAAGGGGTCGTAACTCTGTACTAACCAAACATGGTTAATAAAAATCATCAGTAATACAATTTTATTATTGTTATGAAAGATTTTAAAGTTGAGATAATAAAATTAAAACATCAAACATTTAAAGATAACGGTTGGAGTTTATTCGACCTCGGAAGATGCGATGAAAACAACAGAAATATGAAGAAAAGCCTAACCATAAATTAATAAAGAAAATAAATCAGCTCAAGTTTCAAATAATCTAAACTTATATTTGAAGTCTTTCACATCTGTGTTAAGTTTTCATAGGGGAAATAAAAATATGTAAATTTCGATTTATTTGAGCCAAGTCAAATCTGACACAAAACTGTGGCATTTCCAGTGAAGATCTCTTCTACTATGAAGATCTCGTTTACTTACGAGACCGCGGTGTTAATCTTTGAAATACTCTCAAATGAGATTTGCAATTTTCATTTAAGGTGGAAATGAATTAGTAGAGCGTAATTGTAGGTATTATGCCGTTAATGTTTAGCTTAAGTAAACTCAAGACCATATGGGTGGGGCACCTTATGAAGATTTGTTTCAAGTGTAATTAGAGAGTCGGTGAGGTTGCTAATTATAACTCCATATCAAGGCAAATATATATTGCCTTGTGGGGAAACAGGTCTAGGACAACTCAGAATATCGAAAAACTCCAACTATAAGTTAAATAGCCTCACCAACGTGCAGTCATGTAGTTAGTACTCCTGAATACATAGTCAATCAGAAAAGCGTTACTCTAACAGAAGTTAGAATTCCCTGGATTTGATTTATATATATATATATATATATATATATATTGGTGATAATATTATATGATAATATATATATATATATATATATATATATATATATATATATATATATATATATATATGATAACATTGGTGATAATATATATATATATATATATATATATATATATATATAACATTGGTGATAATATATATATATATATATATATATATATATATATATATGATATGATAACATTGATGACAATATATATATATATGATATGATAACATTGATGACAATATATATATATGATATGATAACATTGATGGGTATATATATGTACATATGATATGATAACATTGATGATAATATATATATATGATATGATAACATTGATGATATATATATATATATGATATGATAACATATATGATAATATATATATATATGATATAGTAACATATATGATAACGTATATATATATGATAACATATATGATTATATATATATGTTATGATAACATATATGATAATATATATATACATATGATATGATAACATATATGTTAATATCTATATATATATGATAACATATATGATAATATACATATATATGTTATGATAACATATATGATAATATATATATACGTATGATATGATAACATATATGATAATATATATATATGATATATGATAACATATATATGATAATATATATATATGATATGATGACATAAAATAATATGTGATATATGATAACATATATGATAATATATATATATGATAAAATATATGATAATATATATGATTTGATAACATATATGCTAATATATATATGATAACAGGATAATATATATATATATATATGATATGATATATGATAACATATATGAGTATATATATATGTATATATATATATATGATAACATATATGATAATATATGTGTGTGTGTGTGTTATCATGGTTATAAATTCATCCAATTTGAAATCTTTAAATAAAATATATTAACGCCGAACTTGCACTGCCTCCAAACCCGACGAATGGGGATCAAGCCTGTTGTGGGGAAGCGGAGAAGAAAGCCTCAGCCACTTTTATCAACATTTATTTTTTTTTTTTTTCTACCAATGTTATATTGTCAATTATCAGATTATAATAATATGCACGGTAACGTTTTTAGTGATTCTGATTCTTCAGTGCCTCAAATGTGTAGGAAGGTCTGTCTAAAAAAATTACAAGTACATGAACATAGCCAAAACTATCAACAGGACTTGTCTCAGTGGAGAGATCAGCGTTTGGGTCTGATATGTAAAGCGAACATAGATATAAAAAAAAAAAAATGGAATTGTTTTGGAAACAGAAGTCGTCCTATGAAAAAGTTTTGGGGGAGGTGACGAAGAAGAAAAGCATGTATGGCAATATTTTCTTTTTTATTTTGTTCCATTTGTAATGTTTGCTTTTATTTCACGCATGTTAGAAATCATTTATGATACTATTTCTCATGTAATATAATGCTGATTACTGAACATAATTAAATTTCAATAAAATTTATTTTTATATGAATTCTACTTTATGAAAATTGACCTATCTTAGAGTGAGGGCTTCGCGTCAACCGTCCTGGGTATGACAATTAACTACATCCGTCATCAAATCTTCTGATCGGGAGGTTTCAAGGAGCGTGGAACCACGTCTTAATTGCTGTTGTTCCCAGGTTCAACCTGACCCGAAGTGGTAGCATATATTGGGGTTGCAGCTATGGACAAGTTGTTAACCCCCAAAACGGGGTCAAAACGCTATGAAAGTGTAAAAATTATAATAGAAATACCAGCAATACATTTTCACAGTAAGAAAAAAAAAATTCCAACAATACATTTTTGTAAAAAAATATATATATTACCTGTAATATATCTGTAAGGAATAAATATTACCAGCAATATATTTTTGTAAAAATAATTACTACTGCTCCCAAGAAAATAAAGTTTCGACATTAAATGACTCATAATGAGTTGATATGCTGCTAAACAAACATACTCAGGTTCATATCATAAATTTTAAGGAGGGTCATGAGCTTCTGGTGTTACTACTGGTAAAATGTAATGAAAATGGAACATAAAACGTAATCGGTGTAGATTCGTTAATTTAATGATATTGTCGGAATTAGCTCCTCCTCAGCTCCTTAACCCTTCACCAGGGGTCTCTCTCCCCTGGCTATAAATACTGGCTGACCCTTCGTCTCTTCCTCTTTTTTCCTTGGGCCTTCAGCCTTATATCACCTCGCAGATGTGAGCTCTCACATATACAGCGTTTTCCAAATTCTGGGAACACGCTAAGAACAATACACGTACGTACGAACACTCACCACAACACACACACACACATAATAAACACCACACGCACTCTGTCCATGTAACTGTCCATGTAACTTGTACTTGTTGTTAATACATATATTTATCGGTCTTGTTTGTTTTGTTTGGACTTAATTAAAGTCCAACTTTCTCATGTAGTTGGACCGGCTAGCAGGAAAATTCTACCCACGTGTGTTTTACAGACTCACCACCGCCACGGTCAGCAACAATATCAACACTGGTTGGGTTATTTCATATCGAAAATAAAAAGGTTTTATAGGACATAATTCGCAATGTATTAATAAATAGGTGGGTATAAGTCGAAAATTAGACATTTGGATTGGTGGTGGCGGCGGTGGTGGTGTGGTGTGGTGGAGGGTGGTGGTGGAATCTTAGCCCGCTGCAGTCGATGCAGTCGGCAATTAAATATAATAATCAAAACTTGCGTGAATGTCTTAGTCGATACATTTTCATAATTAATTTTAACTAGTTTATCTTTTATTTTAAAATTTGACTTCTTGACCAAATCTGTAAGGTGTCATCCATGAAAGACGATTTCCCAATTTATATGAGTTCAAATCTTGTCTACGGCTTTATTTCTGATCCATGTTGTTTGCATTGTCGTAGAATATAAAATCGACCTGAGAGGTGTGAAAAAACTAAAACGAAAGCAAACTCTTCAAAATTAATACTGATTTAATAAATTACGCCATTTTTGTCTGTGTTAACAACACGAGAATATTGCAAATGTCGGCAAAGTTTATACTGTGTGGCATTAGCATAACTTGTTTGCTCACGAGGTAGGGTTGTGTAAAGCAATATAAAAGGAAAGTAGATAACCCTCTCTCGATCTCACTACCTTTTCTTTCGCACTTAAGTTACAGGATATCGTCAGAACAAGAGTTGCCTTGTTTCTCTCCTGGAGGACTTCTTCGTCCCCAACGAACCACACCATTACACTGTCTCCTTTTCGAAAATAAAATACTCATGCGACCATAATAATATCTCCACCATAACCTATCACATATATCTTCTTCAATATATGTAAATATCCTTCTTCAACAAATGAGACAAC